TCAAATTAGTACAATTGAAGTCAATTTCGTACAATTGAAGTCAATTTCGTACAATTAAAGTAGAGTATATTAATATATAGTTATATGGTTTAGGGTTTAGGGTTTAGGGTTTAGGGGTTAGGGTTTAGTATAGTATATTAATATATAGTTATATTATATTATGGTATATTAATATATAGTTATATAATATATTATATTATACTATAATGGTATATATCTATATATATATATATATTGTTATATTATAGTATGGTATATTATTATTACATATATGTTATATTATAATGTGATATAACATAATTATTACATATATGTTATATTATAATGTGATATAACATATATGTTATAACTGTCCAATTATATGTTATAACATATATGTTATATTATAATGTGATATAATATGATATACAACATAATATAATGTAGTATACAACATAGATTATAAATTATAAATTAAGTATACTATACAAATTACAATTTATTTTATAATCTATTATATAGTATATGTATATGTATATAATTTGTACAAAAATTATCGGAAAGTGTCTGCCGGCACAATGGTACGAGGTGCGCCCAGAGAAACCGGACTCACCCATTGACCCGGGTTCGAGTCCTCAATCTGGGAGCCTCTACCATTTTTTTGTGTTTTTATAAAACACGTACTCTAAGAATCCGTGTTTAGCATTAAAAAAACACGCACGGATTCTCAGAATCCGTGTTTCGTTAAATTTAAAAAAAAAAAAACGAACAGAATCAGACACGCAAGAACAGAACAGAGAGCACAGAGAGGAAGAGAGGAAGAGAGCGACCGAGAAACCCCGCGAGAGAGCACCGATTTCTTCACCAAATTCGTCCAATAAGGTATCATTTCTCTTCATTTTTTATCTACTTCTCGATTTTATGGATGAATTTAGGTATAAAAGATGTGTTTGTAGCAAAAACATGATGTTAGGGTTAACCTAGAGTTTTGTTATATTTTGGATTTTTGCTCGAATTCATCAATTATGTACGAAATTTCTTCCATTTTGTTATGGTTTCGTGTTGTTAATGGCGATTTGAGGTAGGGATGGTGTATTCTTGGGATTATTTTGATATTTGGGCTAAGAACTCATTGAGGACTTTTGTCGAACACTTGTTGTGCGTGTCTCATTTGCCACAATTGCTCTCTTTTTTTGTTCAAATTGCTGTTTACCTCACTACTGAACTTATTTATATATGGATTTTTTTTCATTGTCTGGTAAGATGATAGAAGTTATATGCGATGGCTCTATTTTTTTTCCAAGGTGCATGCTTGCGTCAAATTGCCCCGACAATGTAATTTATCATTGTTCTGTTGATTAAGATTGTCCTATAGTTGTGAATGGCTAGGCCATCAGATAACATCTCTGTAGTTTTCCTCTTTTGTTGGAAACCGATGGTATAATGGAGGTCTCTTTTAGCTACATTTGTTGTAGTTTCTAATGATTAACTTTTTCATTTGAGTCTCTTACATGCTGTAAGATCCTCCAACGTGAGTGTTGGAGTTTATAAATTTATAAACCTGAAAAACTAAATCTGTCACAATGCATTCTTCGGTGTTAAAGCAAGTTTTCTAATGGTAAATTTAACCTCAGATGAAGATTTATAAGGTTATATAACTTGGAGAGGCCTGTTTTCAAGCAATCAACTTATTATGTTTTGTATTGGTCAGTTGAAGTTTGTATATTAGGATGCATGTGTTCGACAAGGATTGTGTGTGTTGAACTTTGATCGAACACCTCATGTGCGGTTCTCTCTTGCTTGCTTAAATTGCTCTCTTTTTCATGAGAGTTTTCATTTGATTTTTTTCAATCAACTTATAATACAATCTCGATCATTTTTTTGCAGAAAATGGCATCCTCATCATCGAATCCTAGACCCTACACCCCACACCCCGGGCCGAATGACCCATCACTTCTATACCTTCAGACCCGCCACCGGTCCGATGCGGTATTTCATGACAGAGCGGGGATGAGGCACGGCGTGGTTAAGCCACGCCGTGCAGACACCCAATTCTGGGATGCATTGAAGGACAACAACCAGCATGCCCGGACATGGGAGGCGATCGAGAAGGCCGGCTTCGGGCCTTTATTTCGGATGGGGCGAATCCAAACAAACAATGCCCTAATTACATGCCTGATTGAGAGGTGGCGCCCGGAGACGCACACATTCCACTTCGACTTCGGGGAGGCCACTATTACGCTACAGGACGTTCAGATATTATTTGGCCTCCCCGCCAATGGAGATGCGATCTGGGGCAACACCATACATCGGTCTGCCCAGGAGTGGAGAGACTACTGCTTTTACTACCTAGGGTATTACTCGTATGTACAGGTATATTTTTTTAGTTAAAACTTTTTTTTGCTTATTTTTTTTAATTATTATTATGTTTATGTATACTTAAGTCATACGTCGTTTTTTATTTATTCTAAACGTATTTCAAGGATCGCGACGACCCGGCCTTCGACCCCACTCAGTGGGATATTTCTGGCCAGTACTTGTACTTCTCGAGTTTAGAGACAGAGTGCAAGCGACCTCTGAGGGATGGACTCGATACATCAGATTACGAGAAGAGGGCGAGAGTCCTGATACTCTGGTGTATTGGGTCCTTCTTCTTCCCCGACCATCGGGCCAACGGGGTCAACCTTTACTGGTTGTCCCTGTTGACTGACATCGAGGCCATACCGGGGTACAGCTGGGGTGCAGCGGTTTTGGCCGGGTTATATAGAGCGCTTTGCGAGGCCTACGAACCGAAGGAAAAATTTATCAAAGGCTGCGTGGAATTGATGCAGGTAACTTTAATTACTTGTTAATCGCAAATTAATTTTATTTATTATAAATTACAATAATATGTACTAAAAAATGTATATGTCCATATGTGCAGGTTTGGGCATGGGAACGCATCCCTCGGCTTAGCTCAACCATGAAGAGAACGCAGTTCGGCTCTCAGCCAGGTCTTCCCTTGGGTGCAAGGTAATAATAACCTTTAATTATATTTAACACTTGAGTTATTTCAATTATCAAATTTTCTAATTACAAATAGTTTTTTTCTATGATTTTTAAGGTGGGTGGGATCGAAGGATATGCGACACCTGGTGACGGGCACGGCTGCTATTCGGGATCAGCTGATTAGCCTGAGGGAGACCGATGTAAGTTTTTCCGTCAAAATAATAATTATTATTTTTTTAATTCTATTTTTTTTATAAATTCATTAATAATTCTATAATTATTTTTTTACAGTTTATTTGGGTACCCTATCAGTCGTACATAGACGCTGATCAGCTCCCAGATCACTGTACACGAGACCGGGGTATCTGGATGTACAGGGGGTTCATCTTCTGTTGGAATAT